TACTAACGAAAGTTCAATCAGATAAAGCCGTTTTTAGTAAACTTTCAAAAAGAAATGATGCGAACTTTGTATTTTTGTAAAAATGATGATTATGAATAATTTTTTTGCGTAAGAAAACAACAGATTTGTCACAACATTGGATTGTCAGAAAATGAATGAAAACTATTACTCTTTCGAGGAGCTGACAAGTTGACACTACAGCATTCTAGAAAAACACGAACATTTTTCGAATAACTAGTGCTCAAACTCAATGCCACCTGCACGTGTATTGATCCAATCATTGCATTTTTAGAACTTTATAATGGAGCTACGAACATTTTATTCATCCTTGTATACTGACTTTAAACAATGTATAACAAACTTTACTTTACTTTTAATTCTACTACTATTAAATATGGTAGTAAAAACTTGTTTCATTACAGGAGGAGGGCAAGTCGATGCTGCTAACTGATTTCCACTTTTTTTTATCTAATGCGCAGAAAGTATATCCTCGAAAAGTTTAATAATAAAGAAGACAACTGGTACGAAAAAATTTACACCTTGTATAAACAGTCAACTGAATATGACCCACGTAAAAGTCAACTTTTATGTAAGTCCGTAACGTTTTGTGAAATGTACAGCTCTTCAGCCGAGCAATATACTGGATTGGGAAAGATCTTATTTTATAGCTTAAAGATTTTTTTAATTTAAGTGACCTAATGGTTTTGGTATACGCCACTTTCGTAGAAAAGGACCGTATTGCCGCGAATTACAGAGAGGTGGCTAGGTGAGAGCTAGACGTTGCTTAATTACCATTTGAAAAGAAGCTTCAAAATAACACGTTCTCCAACTCTCTGCATTGCTCAGCTAAAGATATATGACTTTCACAAAACATTGCAGACCAAACTTTTTCGTCCGGTACGCCTCAACAAGCCGGTCAAATACAGAAGCATCAAAAATTAATTAACTTTAATTTGATAAGCATACTCTTCATATCTTTACGCTATACCTTCATTTCTTTTTATCAAAAAATAACAAATAGTTAACTAGAATTCTTAATTGTTAAAATATAACTCGAAAAACAGGGTATTAGTAATTACTTTTATACATTTAACCTTAAGCTAGAAGTGTTAGAAAAGTCAAGTGCTACAAGTTGTAGCTTTCATGCAGATTTCGACGTCCTGAAACGGTCGCTGTAGTCTACAACGACCGTTTCAGGACGTTGAATTTTGTGTATCAGTGGTCATGACGAGTTGTTTCAGAAGTATTCTTTTTCTTTATTTCTGTATAAGTTTATCTTGTATTTGAATAGGTTAGATTATTGTTTGCAGTAGTCATATATTTTGAATAAGCATGTTACTGGGACACTACAACATCAAGACCGTCCTAAGTTTCGATGTATGTCCTGAAACGTTCGTTGTAGCATTTGACTTCTAACGCCTCTAGTTTAGACTTTAGTCCATGTAAGTAATTACTAACACCCTGTTCTTCTATTCATTTTTTGTTCGTATTGCGAAAAATTATTTATCTCGTCTAACTAAATTTAAACTGTCAAATCCACTAACATGTCTTTGATATCTTATGTTCGTATTTGAACACACCATAAATAAATATAGATAGTTAGTCAATCAGAAACATTATCATTCGAAAATGAATTTAACATTGTTTGTACGACAATTTCTTCTTAATGGTCATTGTTATTAGCAATCAACGAAACTAAGTGTACTCGTCTTTGATTAACACACCTAGTTAGCGTAAAATAATTTAAGATCACAATATTTGCATAAAATGTAATTCACACATTTATTAGCTAAGCTTCCAACAGATTTAGTGCTAATTTTTTATCAATAGATGCATATAGATCTGTAACATCTAAACTACCTGGTGTTGTCTTTCTCGTAATTTTTAGTTTATTTCTCTTTTCAATGAAATCATTAGTAGTATTAACGATAGATCTTGATTTATCACAGATAGGTTTTAGGATAGTTGTCATATGGTTTGCTAAGTATGAGTCAATCAATGATATCGTTTATCTCCACAAATAATCTCATGAAATTATCTTTGTGAACCTTCGGCTGACCTCTCACGAATGATAACTGGTAACAGGATAAAAGAAATAAGAGACTTCTTTTTCTCCTAATTCACAATTTTTCTAATAATTCATTTAAAATAATCGGTAATTCTTTATAAATGTTTTCTGTTGGATCGTCATTCAGTTTTGGAGAATCTGGAGAATTTATTTTACTTTCAATCTTTTCTGTATGATCATTCACTTCCATAACTACTACTTTCTCCCCTTTATCTGCAGGCACAACAACAATACTATTTTTACATTATTTTTTAAGTTTTTAATAGCCAAACTTCGTTCTTTTATAAGAATGGCTGTGTGTTTCGAACCGTAGTCATGTAAAAACTAGTGCGGGAAAATTGAGCAATTGTTAGGAGGTGTTAAGTAATAGTTCTTCTCTTACGCGAGATACTTTACTGTATTCGATTTTGTTCACATCACATGTTATGATACCATAACGTCTGGTGATTATATGTTTATTCTTCTTTCTTATTCTTCTGACGTCATGACGTCATGTTATGTGCCGTTCTACTAACGTTATTAGTCCGGTCAGTAGTAAATCACATATTCTTTTCTATTCTCCTTTGTACGTCATGACCTAATGATGTCATGTTCTGACCAGTTCTTCTGACGTCATTAGATCCTTTTCTAATCCTTTCTCGGATTTTCGGTGATACTATCACCGAAAATCCGTCTCTTTTTGAAAGTTCACTAAAACGGCTTTATTTGATTGAATATCTTGATTAATTTTCTAACTTGTTCACTTTATTCAGTAACAAATTAAATCAAGATAGTTTTACTACATAACAGAATGTCCAAAAGTGACTTATTCTTGAATTTCACCTTAAACCGGCTTGGAATAATATCGAAACGTATCAGAATACACAAAATGAGATAGAAGTCGTCAGGGTCTATCGGCTGCTGTATGAGAATAATTTGTTAACACCATTTATGCTGTCTGTATCCCAATAGGCTGCTGGAGTTTTACTCTTCTCGTAGCTAAAACACGTTTTTCGAGCAACATGTACGACAATTAGAGATCACAAAGAGATACGGAGAAGGTTCTTTGGTGAAAACATTCCATGTGACTTCGAAGTTAGCGCAAGTATTGTAATAAATGTTGATATCATTTATCTCTCATTTTTATTTTACCCATACGATTGTAACAGCCGTCTTGATTATTTTCCTATTTGAAAAGAAATGATTAATAATCAGCACATACAAATTAGAAACATTAACGTTTAAGTTGATTAAGATAACCATGAAAATAATCAGTGGCTCATCCTTCTTAAATTCAAAACAGCTGTGAGATTTCATAAGTAACAATATGGATAGTACACTTACGATACACTCTCTTTAAAAAGAGCTCTAAAGCAACCACTTATAAATGAAAAAACAGCGACGCTTAGTAGCAAAAGAAGTTTGAGTTTTTACTCTGCTAGCTAATACTCAGGTGCTTGGGCTCTCTGAGTGCAACTCTGTCGGTACGAATATTATTAAGAAACCATATACGGATTAGATTGTTTTTATAGCTATTTTTAGCACTATTCAAGTTTCGTTTTGCATAAGTGTATATTTAAATTCTGATACTGGGCATATCTATCTGGTATTTACTACAAATTAAAACGAGTTTCATGAATAATTTTTGATAGAAACAAGAGGCAGACTTCTATTTTTATTAAACAATAGTCAAGATTAGTGCAGATCCTTTATAGAAAATTAACTTTCAAAACCTTTCAAGAAGGCTGGCTTTTGGGAATATTGGGAAATCAACTCGCCATTTTACAAGTTGTCCGAAGAGTAGTTCCATTTTCTCATGGATAGATAACCCAAAGTATTTCGTTCAAAATAAAAGTGCACGATCTTTAACTCGGAATGATTAGGTGTAACTTCGGATTTTATAGGAGCGGAATAACTGATCATGTTGTCAAAAATGGCGGTTAACTGTCGGTTCTTAAAATAACCGTGGTTAACCGCCGGTTTTCGTGCGGTTTCGACAATATGGGATATTCTTGATCCTCGGACGAAGTAAAATCGAAGAGTATATGCTACAAATATAGAAAAATAATATAACAATCAGTCTTGGACTCCCCCTATACAAATTTCAGAAACAATTTTGCAAATCAATCTAGATTTTTCTTTGAAAAGATGAAGCCGATGTGTGCACTTCATTAGTCTCGCCTTAAGGCTACATATTGCTTTTTCTTCTATCATGCTTTGTTACTGGGAAAGTTTGAAGACTCAAATTGAGTTGCTAGACAGAGTTAAGTATCAGGCAATTTTTGACAAAGTTTGGCGGTGGTACTGTATTTCTTTGACCTGCTAAAGAAGTTTTAGTGATGCGTACGAAAAATGAAAACTGCAAATTTTGCTCGAAAAATATTCTTTTCTCAAACAACAACCATGTTCTATTAATTCTTTTATCGTCAGTTATAGCGCGTTTTCCACTCTACAAAATCCAATATAAACAATATCTTCACTATATTTCCTTACTGAGTGGACAAACTTTTTTATCGCATGTCAATAAATGGTCAAACCTTTTAAAAAGTTATTTTTTGTGAAACGATCATAGTTTCAAACCAAAACTTATATATGGTTAGATGGTTCTCTATCGAAGCTGCTATTCAGCTTTTTCATACTTTCACGTTTTTAAATCGACAGGATCTTTTGCGCATTTCATCTAACTTAGAGTGCTCTACCCAAAGAGCACATAAACGTACTTTCCTTTTTTTCTGGCTCATCGAATGTATGATCGATCATATTGATTACACAACTGGAAACTTTCAGTTATATTCTTCGAATAACACACTTGTTACATACAATGGTCACATTTCATTTGGAGACAATTCAAAATCTTTGTTCCTAAGATTGCCAGCCTATCGAAAATAGATAAGATGGTATTGTACCTTCAAAGAAATTTTTGAAGAAATGTTTGATTAACAATGAAAAAAGGTTATTTTCCATAATAAGTTCCAACAAACCAAACGAGTCCACTGGTTTTTTCTCGAATTAAATATAAAAATGGTCGATTACAATTGAACACTATTTTTTCAATGGGTAAAGCTGATGATGATCCAAAAATAATTGCAGTTACAGCTGCCGCCGTCACCCCATTTTCGTCGACATCGATAAATGCTTTATGGATTGCCTTCGTAACGTAAAGAGGTTGACTTGGACTAATACCTGTTAGCTTAGCTTTACTCACATCAAAAACATCGGTTACATTAACAGTTCGAAGTGGTTTCTGCAGATCATATGTTGACTGAGTTTTAAATTTTGGTAATGATAATTCAATAAATGTTTCTTTAACAGAGTTTAAAACACTTTTCAATCTCTTTGAACTGAGTTGTTTCTGAACAGTTGCCAATGTGACACCTTCATTTGGTAGAATAACATTGAATACAAGCTGAAGATTTTTATTGTTTTTTGTAGTATTGTAGAGAACAGGCAACATTTATCTGGTACCGATTACGTTTAGACAGTTTACTTGAATTTTTTACAGCTACATGGTGAAAAAACAACTGCGAAACTAACTCATGCTGACTTTTATACGCGGTTTCTCGCAGCCAGTCTGACATGTTCTTTTTCCACGGTTTCGATTAAAGTATCTTTCTCTATTCATAATATGTTCTAGCATAAATAGTACACAAACGTCCTTAGAAGCGTGTCTATAACCACGTTTCTGCTCCGGAATGGATGGAGCAACTTTGACCTGACAACATCCCATTATGAAGGATAGGGTAACGGAATGAACAAGAACAGAATTTATTAAAATGCGGCTTTCAAGAGGGATGTCAGAGTTCCTGCAATTCAGCTATTCTATAGAATTCTACGTTAGCATAGATATACGTTTTATTGACGAAGTTTGAGTCAAGCGGAAATGTATAGAATTCTACGTTAGTACAGACATAGTTGATCACCTAGAATTCTATAGAATTCTATACTTTTCCGTTTGTCTCCTACTCGGCTAATATATTGTATATGTGTAGTAAGGTGGAATTCTATTGAATTCTATAGAATTCTACGTTAGCATAGATATACTTTTTATTGACCAAGTTTGAGTCAAGCGGCAATGTATAGAATTCTATAGAATTCTAGGTTAGCAACTATGTCTGTACTAACGTAGAATTCTATAGAATTCTATACATTTCCTAGATTTCTGTTTTGAGAATAACTCCGACTTATCATGTTTCAGCTGTGGAAAAGTTGTTCTAGAATTCATAGGGAAAATATAGAATTCTGTAGGATGTCTGAAATGTAGGAATTCTGCCATTGCTGGCTTTCAACTCAGTCCGCTAAATATTCACTTATAGAAGTAAAAGACAAAATTTACAATTAATAAAAATAAATACTACTCAGACTTTTTTTTATTCTTTTATATATTTGCTGAAAGGAAATACTTATTCGAGTATTGTTGATAAGAACTGCACAAGCAGGTGAAAACTAAATTTACACTGTATTCTAATCTTATTCAGCAATAAAAACATTTCAGTATTGAAATCGTTAAAAGACTCATAGTGACGATAGTTTTATTTACGTTTTGACTTGGAAAAAACACACAACTAAAGTGCACTTTATTTGAAAAGTTATTTTGGTCGTGGCACTATTTAAATAATTCCATATAAACATGACGCTGGTCAAAATAATCGTAAATATTTTAAAGAAAAAAGGTAAAAAAATTAAAAAGTAAATATTTTACTTCGACATAGTAGTGTATCTCTTCAGTAGCCTAACAGCAAAGCAAAGATCCGCGCAATCTTCTAATGATGTGTAATAATATAAGCACATTGTACCGATTTTTCCTTTGTTGTTATGCTGCTGAAAAGGTACGCTGATGTACCGAAACGTTTAGCAGTTAATAATAGAAAGTATGAATAATCTTAATAAATGAAATTATGATTATTCTCATTATCCATGCCCTGAAAATAACGCAAATAATATGGAGAAAAAGAAAGGAGTCCATCATGGTTTGAATAATTACAATTGGTTGCTACGTTATGTGTTCCTTTAGCCATTGGTGTTTTCACAATAATGAATAATTGTGATTTACAAATTGCGGCTGATAATCGTGCGAAAGATTCTGAGATTGCATAACAAAATCATCTAAAGGACATTCAAATGGCAGATAATCAACAAAAAGAAACTATCCGTAATTAGGAGGTTAAAATGGAAAATTCTTCCAAGTTTTAGTCTTCATTTTAAGATTTGTCACAGCCAATACCTAGTATCTACGTCAAATTTATGATTATCAGTAATTCTGTAGGCGTAATATAGCCGCCTCTTTCGGATAGCACAATATTCGCACTACTCCCTATCCCTAGTCTGCCTAACGATAGAATAACAGAAAGGAATTACAGTTATGCAGCGGCATATTCATAGATGGCGTATTAAAGTTTTAAGGCATGCTACATCGAACATATTTTTGGTACAACCGGTACGCTTTATTCAACAGTGACGTCTTGCCATATGCTTTTTTGCGGATACTGACCCTCACAGCGGATCTCTTTTTGATTACGAGATTTCAAATGAGAGTTTTAAAATCAATCCCAGATTCCTAAGAACAGCCTCGAAAATCTCTCTCGAGACGTCCATTTTTTCGTTAAGACGATGTACGCAGCTTTTTCAGTTTTTAACAAAAGACATTATGACGCAATTTATCTCTCGCAATTCCCATTCTATCACCAATTTTATACATAAATAACACAAACAAACAAAAATACAACATATCTTGTCGCCCACCCTATAACTCTTCGATAGTGAAGTAGATTATAAAATCGAAGTTTATAATAGTAACTCTGAGGAATGAGCCGTACGAGTTCAATATAAGAAAATATATCTCGTTCAACTCTTATTTCACACAGTCATCAATGTTCTGGCGCAGATTTATCTGTTGATTCATTTTATTTTCGTAGTGATTTTCAGCATACTGTAGTGGAACATTGCATAGGATTCTAAATAAGTGAAATCGTAGAGAGCAAAATTCTCTATCTTTCTTTATGGTAGAATCGTGTAATATACTTTCTCTCCCTACGTTTCAACTTTCGTTTATTACCCTAATAAGAAATGTCAAAGAAAAAGTACCTCATTCTGACATTATGTTGAAAATTACTCTTCCGAATATTACAAAGCAACAGTATTCTTTTTAAGCAACATGTGCCTTACAACAGAACTTGACTTATTTATATTCTTAACTCTATATATAATCAATTTAGATGGGATGTGCCCTTGCCTTAAAAGTTCTCAAATTGAATGAAAACTCATTCGTTAGGCTTCAGTTATGGATATGTAGGACAACACTCCTAAGAAATGGTAGATTAGTAGCGTAACACATTGGTCTTTGATTGTTTTGATTGTTCTAGTTTTCAAAATTTGAATAGACTGGAATCAGAACTGTTGACTTTTCGCGGAGATGAGAAAATAACTTTAATTAGCATCACTTAAAATTTTTCTCAACAGATAAGTGTTTCCAATAGTTCATGTTCGAAGAAGAGACTTGGCAAATTAACTTTTGCATCGATTACTATTCCCCTGGACGTCCGTTAATTAGAGGAGAACGGCGAACTAACGAGGGAACCTCCCGAGGTGTCCATCTCGGATTTTTTTCATTCATATGCCAATCGATAGGTCACATAGAGATATGAAAAAGCCTCAAAGGATATCGGCGCAATTTGCTTCCTTCTAGAGTTAT